TCTAATTAATTATTTATTGTTATAAATAATTAGAGCAACATAAAAATTACAGTTTAAAATTGATACTGTGATTTTGGATAATATCCTGAGTTTTACGTAAGTCATAGATTTCGTTGACTTAGGCTTTGCTAAGCGCGCACTCAGCATGACTTCTAAGTTAGCCCTATAAATCCCGACATTGTCTTAGCTCGAAAGTAAAGTCAGAGTACGGTCTATAGATCTATCTCAGCCTTATACCTCAAGGGTGACAACTCATCTGCCTTCTTTGTTCTCCATATCTCTTGTATGGGCTGCAGTAGAGAGTTTGTTTCAAAGATAGCCTTCCGTACTATTTGATAGAACAAATAAAGCTGCCAAAATATTTCACACATTTGTAATAATAATATATTTACCTGTGATTTTATTCACACCTAGTTTTCATAAACACGAGCCGCAGACTCCGTAGTAAATTGGAAGTTCAACGACCGATACAAAGCCATTACGCAAGACTCGAATTAATTTAGAAACATTGTACTATAGACCAGACCATAAAGCATAGAATCCGCGAAATATACAATAGTGACCCGTAACACTTGCTAATACGGGGTATAATACGTTAACCATTTGCATGCTGAGTATATACGACATAGTGCGGTCGAATGACTGGTGCGGTAGCGGTTTCATTGTAACAGATTTTTTTTATATTAAGCTATGACGAAATGATATCATTTTTTGTACGTGGTTGCTGCTGCAACCATGCTGCAGCTATATTAGTAATATAGTTGCAGCACGAATGGGTCGGCTCGACCGGGGAAGGACCACGCTCTCACAGAATACCAGCGTCAAATAGCAGCTTAACACTGCTGTGTTTCGTATGGTGAGTGTAGAGAACCGGAGATCCTTTTTACTGGAAAAGAGGCATTCCATCTTAGTCCTCACGGGTGACAACGCATCTGCATTTTGATTCACAAACGAGGATAAACGTAGATGTCTATGGGCCACAGCAACCACTTACCATCAGGTGGACTGTGTGCTCGTTTGTCACCCTATCCTATAAAAAAATCATGTATCTAGACACTACAGTGTGTCAGTCAAGTTAGGAAATTAAATTTTTTCTACTTTTATACCCAATTTTTATACCTGGAATCTCAAATTTTATGAATAAAACTATAATAGTTCTGGAGTAATTAAAGTTTGAAAAGTGACATTTTTACCACTTTGTTACCCATCAGGATATTATGTATGGCTAGACATATTACTGGTGGTCGGTTCTTCGTATCCCGTGATACACCGACAGGTACGTCGTATCTCAGGAAGAAATGTTCTCGAGTGACACCCTCGTGTTGGTAAACGAAGTATAGAGGATTATTTATTTTCGATAATATTTAATTATCGCCATAAACTTTCTTTAACATCACAATTTACATGTCTCATATATTATAAGGTTGGAACTATTATGATCATATGTTAGGGAAAAAGAAGCATTCCATCTTAGTCCTTATATGACGACGCATCTGCAATTTGATTCCTTGTCGAGTATATGGGCCACAGCATCCACTTACCATCAGATGGACTATGTGCTCGTTTGTTATTCTATAAAAAAAATCCGCTATCCGCCGTCGTCTCTACACGCACGATACACCCGAAACGAGCAAAAACTCCAATGCTAATATAAAAGGCTCGTGAAACATTTGAATTACATACGTCACAGTATAATGTATCTCCATTATATTTCATATCATATCAATTGAGTTTTTATTTTGCGGTGTGTGAATTTAAAATGTTTAATTTTTTGATGCGTTTAGCACTGTAGCTTGGGATTTCAGTTGATATTCAAGTTGCAACGCGTCTACTATAATTTTCATTATACTGATTTAAGATATTAACTATTGTCAACGTCTCCATCGACCTCTTAACTGTTCAAAACTGGACGTGGACTGTTCAGTAGGCGGATCGATGACCATAGTAGTACGTAGATGTAGAAGAGAGGATTGCTGACTGAACGGAATGCCTCGTTTCCAGTAAAAAAAGTCTCCGCTTCTCTACACTCACCATACGAAACACAGCAGCATTAAGCTATATTTTACGCTGGTATTCTGTGAGAGCGTACAGCAGCGTGGCTCTGTCGCGTTTAAACGTTGCCTGGCTCGGCCAACCTAAAGTAACATTTGACATGTGCACTAATTCAATCTACTTACCTCTGGGAGTACTTGTACCGCTTTCTTTTTTATGTAACGCTACATTTATAGAGAAAACTGCAAACAAAGGTGGCTGTGCCAGCCAAACGCTTTCAGCACAGTCCCCGTTTTAGTTTAAAAATACATTTATTGAATTGGATATTTAGTTTAAAAATACATTTATTGAATTGGATATTTAGTTTAAAAATACATTTATTGAATCGGATATTTAGTTTAAAAATACATTTATTGAATTGGATATTTAGTTTAAAAATACATTTATGGAATTTACTGTATAATATTACAATAAATGTACCACATCGGATATTGTGAGTTTGAAATAGCAAATGATTAAATGATGCGTTGCTGAAAAAGTCCGTGACTAAAATATCAATAAAAACAATATACACATCCAAAACCTAACATAAAATAAACAATATTTAGCATATAACCTAATATAACGTTTTTGTTTCTCATAAAAGTCGCTTTGAACAATTAGGCTATTTCATTCATTCAGCACGGCCACATTTTTTTAAATATAATATAATATTATATGACAACAAAAATTCGAGTTTCTTTTTTTTTATTCAAAATGTCTTTCAAATGTTACATGGCACAAGGCACGATTCTGAGCGACCTGTCACTGTTACCTATATTTAAAAAAAAATTAAAACCGCGAAGCACGCCTCTTAAGGGTTGATAATGATATATGGACTGAAATAATGAAGGTATCAACTATTGAATGCAAGTTCATCGTTCAAACATGATCTGTATTTATAGTGTACCATACATAAGTGAATCCTTTGAAGGCGTTGGCTATTTTATTGTTTATAAAATTCGTCGCGCTCCACAGCACGCAACCGCAGTCATGATTGTATGACAGTGATTTTGTCGAGAAACCGTGGGAAGTAACCTATTTCGATTGTTCTACAAAACGAAATAAACGATAGCCTTGTTGGCTCTGGATATGAGAATTTTCTTTTATAGTAATCCTTTTGTGTTCCAAATTCAATTATCATGTACTATAGTAAATTTCTTTTTTCTTTTTTTTTTCATTATCTTCATTATCTTGACTTGACTTGACGTTTACAGAAACGACCAGGATAGCGAACGAATTTCGGTAATCACATTGGAACATTGTGAAACATCCTTTTCATATTTTTTTTTTCATCAAACATCATTTTAATTACTGCAATTAATTTCTTGGAACCTAAAAAGACTAAAATGAAGAATTTTAAAATATAGATGCTTTACTATGTATACCATCCATAGATAGCCTCAGAGGGGTTTTCCATAGTTACTACTTTTAGCAGACGTGTTGGTAACCGCATTTTTTTATAATTTTGAGTTTTTATCAAGAAGATGCTGCAACCGCTCTCCTGTGTCAGTTTCCCTCTGTCGCCTCTTTCGACACCCACGGAGCGATATTTAGTATGTCACTTCACGATGTATGATTACTAAACATTTATTAGAACTGATATTATTTAAAGCCGTTGAGCCTAGTGCCGTGGTTTAACTCGACTGGGAATCTAAAAACTCTGGTATTTTATGCCATTGAAGAACAACCTACAGATCTACAAATCCTGATTCCAATTTTATTATATAATTTTCGAGAAGATTTTCGGCGTCCATTGACTGCAGTAATGGCTTACGAGTGCTACCATGAGGTATTATTAATAATTATTAATTACATTTTAAATAATAACTTAAATTGAAAATTTAAAAAACCCCCGAAACAAAAACTGCTAATCATCTTCAAATGGCTGAAAAGAGTTTATTGAATCATAACTAAGAACACTCTCGACCAAGTCACCTTTCAAGCAAAATAAAAAAAACTAGATCTAAATCGGTCCACACGTTTGGGAGCTACGATGCCACAGACAGACACAGATACACATTTCAAACATATAACACCCCTCTGCGCCGGGGGTTAAAAAGTAAAACAGATTTATAAAGTAAAAAATAATAACCACATAAAAGCTTCTGTGCTAAGACATAATGGATCGATAAATTAATACCCCTTCTTCAAAGGCTATTATGTGAATGTAATTTAATTATATTTAGTTCTATGAAGCTTACTAGAAAGCTTTTATTTTCAATTAAAAGTCTAATTTGTTTGCCCCTTTTAGTAATATCACAAACCCGAATGTCGTCTAATTAGTTATGTTACGGTCAAAACTCATAACCGGTCAAACCCACTTTAGACTGTAAAAAATCAGGCAAAAGTAGTTTTGATTAAGGACGTTTGTCAAATCCACTTTTAACTGCAATAACACTGGGTAATAGTGTTAAAAATTAAAAATACAGCCTATATACGTATACGTAGGCACAGGCCTCGCTTCAATTCTGAGAAGGTTTTAGGGCAAGAAAATGTCCGCCGCGCTGCCCCAATGCGTGTTGGCGAACTTCACACATGTTTTCGATTTTTTTTTAATTCTCAGACATGCAGGTTTCCTCACGACGTTTTCCTTTACCGCTGAGCACGTGGTAAATCACCACTTAAAATTGCAATTAACAATTTCATTGGTGCCGGCGGGGATCGAACCCGGGTTGCTCGCGTACTGTGAAATTTACAGCGAGCGCTAACCATCTGGGCAATATAAAAGTGGTTTTGACCAACAATGTTAGTCAAAACTTTTTTGACTTATACTTTTTGAATTTCTTCAATATTATCTTTTATATCACATATATATACAAAAAGAAATTCAATAAAATCGTTTTACAAAAAAGAAGACACTGCGTTAGTTATTAGCGCACAAAAAAAAGAACATACAGTCGAATAAAGAACTTCCCCTTTAGTTTGAAATCGACTAAAATTATTAACTGTACGTAACTCTTTTTCAGGCCACCAGACTACACCAAAGGCGTGTTCCAAACGTTAGGGTTTAAAGAATTCCACGAGTACCTAATGCTACCAGAAGAGAAGAGAGACAGCGATGAGGGCAGAAAGTTACTGCAACAGAGTATAGAAAACATGAAAATGGCAACAAGAAGATATGCTAGGAGACAGAATAAAATGGTCAAAGGACGGTTTCTGGACATTCCTACCAGAGAGGTAATTAGTATTCCTGTCTGTTGTAACTTGTAACATATTCGAATTTGAATAGTAAAATTATTCGCAGTTGATACAGAATGAAGTTACAGAGACATCTCTTGACGGTATAAATAATTGAGCTCAATTTTATTTGCAATACTTATTTTTATAATTCAAAGATATTAAAATAGATCTCAAACCTACAAAGTATAATAGATTACAAAGTAATTTCAAAGAAGATGGTGTACCTAATAGTACATAAATAATAATACATACAATACTAATTAAAATTAAAATTAATTCAAATAAAAAATATAAATAAAAGAAATAATACTTAGAAAATATACTTATTAATATGCAATAGTGAAATAAATAGGTAATATTATATTCATATTAACTTAAGTTAATGAAAATGTAATAACATTATGTTGATGTGGCGAAAAGAAGAACTACTCATATTGCCCATGTGTGTCGTTAGAGGCGACTGTGGTCAATACACAAGGAAGATCTCATTGCTTCCGCTAGATGGCGGAGTAACCAACTCCTATAAACCAGATATAAAATGTTACCCCCGCTTGTTAGGGAGAGCAGCATCAAAGAAATAAAATTACATATCAAAATAAAAAATTAAAGTTTCATAAATATGTAATACGTCATTTTTACATTGGAAACAGGCTCCGTTTAGAAAAGGTGCTAGACATCTGGTACTGCAATTGCTACACCACTTGCAAATGTGGCGATTGTGGCAAATCCTCCTTACCGTGTGAGGGGTCCATAACCAGCAGTGAATTATTACGGACTAACAAACTACAAAAAGAAAAACATAACTCATGAATTCATAAATCTTAACATGCCAGAAATGCAACTATCTTACTATCTGGATCTGCGTCGTAATTAAAACTACTAGAATTACTATTCATTACATACATACTACTTATTATTTTTAATCAGTACTTACAATTATATTTTATTTATTTATTTACAAATAATTTTACATTATTTATGTATATATATTTTATCTTTATTAGATTTATAATTAAAAATGTACACCATCTAGCGATGAAAAGAAATATCTAAACCAATCACAAATTATTAGCTCCATCTAGTGATGAAAAGCAAATTTAAACTTAAACTAATTCTTTACGTTCTCTGTAAAATATAAAAGATGGCATTTGTATACATATTACATAAGAAATTTTGAAAACTGAACACGAGTTGGATTCTCGGCACCTATGAAATTAATAATTATAGATTAAGTGCTGGTTTACCACGGTCCTGGTAGTGAATGACCTGAAAACATGGTAAAGAATCCTGCAAGCCTAAAAGAAATAATAAAAATATTTCGAGGAATTGTGTAATCCACCAAAATTTTTAAAGTTTTTTACCATTTACTGTTCCTAAATCCTTTGAATGAGAAGAGTCCTGTGCTAGCAGGGAGGAATAGTATATAAGCTATTACTTTGATACATATGTACTGTCATAATTAATATTTTATATTAATAATATTTTTCAGGTACCACCAATTTACGAATTGAATACAACAGATCTATCTAAATGGGATAATGAAGTAAAGGACAAAGCAATAGCAATCATTGAAAGTTATATAAATAATGTTCCTTGTAGCTATGAACCATTAAAAAGAAATATAGATGAGGAAAAAACAAAAATTGACAGACATTCTTGCAATTATTGTGAAGTGTGCGAAAGGCTTATTATCGGCGATAAGGAATTCTCAATACATATGAACTCACATAAGCACAAGAGAGTTTTAAAAAAGAAAAATAAATTATTAGCACAAGAAGAAAAAAAAGAAAAGCAAGAAAATAATAAAGAGCAAATCTAATTTTGTATTAATTACAATACGTTTTATGAACAATTGTTATGTCAAAGTAAAAGATTTTGTTCAAGCACTAATTGTTTTAATAACTAAATATCTAGCGTATTTAAAAAACGAAATTATTCTGATTTTCAACATTTCCTTCGTCTCCCTTAGGTTTTTGTTTTGGAGCTCTATAATCATATTTTTCTAATTCTGGATACTTTGTAACAATAAGATTGTAAGCCTCACACAATCTACCAAATTCTGAGTTTGTTATTTGAAAAGGTCTAGTAACTGGATCTATATCTGCAATGTTATACATTTTTAAAGCCATTTCCTCACGCACATTCTCTGGGAATAATGTTTCAGCGCCCCTTATAGAATACTTTTGCCGCATTGAAAATATCTGCCTTATAACTTTTTCAACCATCTTAAACGGCAACTTTATAATTGGTTGTTTCAATGGTGTTAATGTTACTACTCCCACATCAACATCAGGCTTTGGAAGAAAAGCTGTGCCAGGTATATCAAATTTGTATTTAACATTACACCAATTCTGACACATGACAGACAGACGACATCTTTGCTTATCTAAGATTGGTGCGGCCATCCTTTCAGCCACTTCCTTTTGAAAAGTCAACGTCATTCTTGTGCGACCAAGAGACCAAGGCCCCTCTTGTTTTGAAATCATCTCTAACCAACATATCATAAGTATGGTAGATACACTGAAGGGCAAATTCCCTATTAAGTTAACTGGTGGTGGAGGATCTGTCCAACCCATTTTTACATCTGCGGGAATAAAATGTGATACATCTGTTTTCAAAATATCACCAGTAATAATGTCAACATCAACTTTTCCTTTGCATGCATCAGCTATTAGTTCTAAGGTTGGTATAAAACGTGGATCTTTTTCGATCAATATTACTTTTCTAGGTGCTTGTTGTATAATAGACCTTGTGATGCCACCCGGCCCCGGTCCAACTTCACATACTATATTGTTCTGTATATGGCCTGCTGCTCGAACTATTTTATCGATTAATCTTGGCTCCATAAGGAAATTTTGCGACAACTCTCTGAGTGCGCGAAGCTTGTATAATCTTATAACATCTTTGATAGTAGGTAAGGGAGGAAGTCGTAATTGTAAGGCTCTCTGTGTGGCAGTCATTATTGCTGCACCTTCGCTGGCTCGTCAAAGTCGTCAAGGAAGGTTTCCTGCTTGATCGCATATATTGAATACATGTATATACCAAAAACTCCTGCTCCAATCGCGCAACCAGTAATCCTGTTTCTTTTAGAAATCTGTTGCAACTTTTGTACGCGTTCAAGGTTTTTCTGTTCGATAATCTTCATATAATCAAGTTCGGCCTGTTTCAACACCGGGTTTTTGCTGTCTGTGTTGTTAATTTTAGATTTTAAATCGGAATCACCCATTACGGTTAATAATTTTATTTATAACCAACCTCTAATGAAGTAAGCACAGAGTACCTTGGAACTTGGAAGTAAGAAATCTATCACAGAGTACATTATATATAGAAATCTATACTATCACAAACAGCAAACAATTTTAGTGATGGACTAGACCCGTGTTTTACTCAATTACGGCAGTCACTCGAGTAGCTTTTATTTTACTCACATTCGAGTAATATTTGTGACAACTCGGATTACGAGTTATTCGGGTCAACTCGAATGACTCAAACCACTCGAGTGGCCTGTATAACTGTGTTGCATACTTTATAGTCTCTTTATAGTAATTTTACGACAAAAGTGTGGAATAAAGTAGTTATTTGTAAGTTGTGAAAGAAAAGACACAAAGACTTACGGAATAGTAGACAACTTGATTTCTCATATCGAGAATGACTTTCTAGTTGATCTTGTGTTCCTGTATAGGACGGTTACTATACTCTTTGATCTAGTGGTTGTAAACTTGACTGCTGACCATGACGTTCCAAAAATATAATTTATTGAGATTTTCTGTCAAGAAATTCTCAGTAACTGTCTGGCGTCAGGAAGTTGGCGGTGTCTCACCCCCCTGCCTCGGAAATCACGTAAAGCCGTTGGTGATGCGCCTTATCTCTCTCCGGTCGTGTCGGTTTATCGTCACATCGGGCTATGAGAGTGAGGGACTAGAGTACACCTGTGCTTGCGCATACACACTATAATCCTGTCCTGCGCCAATGGCTACTCTCCGCAAATAAAAAAAAAGATTGATTATTGAGAAGTCGGTCAGTAAATTTTTTTGTGAATCGATCAGATTTCGGTTTGAATCGGTTTACAAATCGATCTTTTTCGTAAAGAATCGCCATTCCTCTGCATATTATATAAGATCAGTTATAATCGGGAGTTCGGGAGGTAAACTTATAGGTATCTGATTAAGCTTCTTGGATAAAAAGGAACCAACCACAGATAAAGAAAATAAAGTACGATGATCGATATTAATTGACGTTATTAAGATATCGATGTTAAGCATTAAAATTTGGACCATTGAAATGTCCTGATTTTTTGCGCGTGGTATTTCTCACAACTATTGTAATTGTTTGTATATAATTGTTTGTTCTGTTCTGTTGATTTGTTAGTTCCGAATCTGAAAAATTAAACTCTTTCAGATATGGATGATACATGACGAAACGGGCATTAAAGCAATATGTGTATTATACTCGTGTAAAAAATTAACTTTTAATAAAAAGTAAAGCCTTTTAAGTGTCTGTTTGTAATGTCAAAATAACAGCTTTTAACTAAATGCATATGAAAGTGTATATGGTGCTTATAACTAAAACACGTTTTTTAATATGTCTGTCTGTTTGCTTCGGCTGATCTCCGTAACAGCTGACTAATTTTGACGGGACTATCACTGGCAGAAAATTAATATTATAAGGAGTAACTTAGGCTACTTTTATTTAGGAAAGTAATTAGGGTTACCCACAAAAAAGTTAAAACCCACAAAATCCAATTGTAATAAAGTCGCGGGAAAGAGCTAGTTTTTAATAAAAGATAATGCCACATTCTGTGGTCCGTCAGACATCAAAAAATTTTTCTTTTTTAGTATTTTATGCGCTGCTATACTATTCATCAGATTGCGCTAAAATTTTGTCAACTTATTGCAGGCACGAAGGTTATAAGCATAGTACAATTAACTTACAGTAAGTAGCGCGCGGATCGTGCCGACAAATTTAATTGAAAGTCATATATCATTCAATAACAATGAATGTATTATCATCCCTAATTATACAATTAACTTTTCTAAATTTAAAATAATATTTCCACAATTATTTCCCCTGTGGCAGCAGTGCCGGGTACCACTTAGTAAAATTTATGAATTAAAACCTTGAATTGAGAATATGAAATCATTCTATACTTTTTAGTTATTTGAAGTCTACTTTTACTATTAAGTAAAAGTTATTTTTTCGCTTTTGAGTAGACTAAGGTATATTACAATCGCAATTTTGCGACAATATTTACATTAAAAACTAACTTACTTACTTACTTATCTTCACGCACAATGCCTGACGGGGTAGCCAGAGAACAGATCGCCAAGTGTCACGATCCTTACACACCTCTTTCGCTTCTTTCAGAATCATTATCTTCTTCATACATGCACGTCTAGGTATCCGAGTACTCTTGACCCTCCCCTCTTCGAGCAATTTGCTCACATGGTCTTCGAAAGTTAGTCTCGGTCTACCTCGACACCTCTTAATATTTACTTTCGCGCTATTTATTTTCTTCACCATTCTGTCTTCACTCATTCGCTCAACGTGCCCAAACCATCGAAGCACGCCCTTATCAATTTTTGTGATAAGGTCATCTTTTAAACCTGCCATATTGCGAATCTCTTCGTTTCGCTTTCGGTCGGCCATGGTAACGCCGCACATTTTACGAAGAGATCGCATCTCTACTGCATTCAAGTTACTTTTATGCTTCTTATGGCATACTCAGGTTTCGCTGCCATATAAGAAAGTCGGTACCAACACTGCGTTATGTATTGCAAGGCGTGCACTCTTCACTACGCCTTGCCTTTTGACTAACGCAGTCAGGGCACCATTGACTTTGTTCCCGGCAGCGACACGCCTGTCCACATCTAAATCACATCTTCCATCCCGGCTGAAAGCACTCCCCAAGTATACAATTTCATTACATTAAAAACTTCATTCTCTATTTTAATTTTTTTTGTCCAAATTAATACGGTGGCCCCATATCGTATAATCCCCACTGGAGGATAAACAATTTGTTAAAAAAAGAGCCATTAAAGTTGTTTCACAATCGAATTGAAAACCTCCTTTTTTAAATTGACAAAAAACAAACACATAATAGTCACATGCATGCATGGCGATCTGAATCGAAAAATCGATCCATTATATTGCGATGAGAAATCGATTTTTTTATACCTATTTGGATGGATTTAGTGAATCGGTTCAAGAATCCGTCGAATCGGATCGATTCACATATAAGTCACTATCCATGCTAATTTAAGGGAGCACATCTTAATTCAAGATGTGTGATAAAAGGTTTAAATGAATTGAACGCATTTATACTAAATAATATACATTTATGCTAAATAATATACAAAGTGAATCATCAAGCAACTGATATCGTTACTCTTTTAATATAATACCAATAAGAAATGAGATTCACAGCATTGGTGCGTCCTAAACGGCTAATAATGACTAATAATTGCAATTCAGTAATCATATTTTTAACAAAGTCGGAATTTTTATTATAATTTTTAAATAAGCTCCGAAGACGGCTTTATATAATAAAGCCGTCTTCGGAGCTTATTTAAAAATTTCTCTATTCAATTAGATATGTTACAGCATATCAAGTTTTTGTTGTATTATTGACCGGGAAAACAATTTTGTATGAAATTTGATTGAAACAATTTTTGATTAAATGTTATTATCTGTATGTACATTAATTCTCAATTTATTTTTTCTCACTAGTCAGCACCTCTAAAACATATAAGTAATGAATCTTAAAGGTGCAATTCCATAGAGTAATGCTCGATTTTATCGAGAATACATATTCTCCGAGCATTTGCGCTCGATTTGAATCGAAATAAAAATCGGTATTTTTGAATACTAATCGATATGACTAAAAACAGCTGTTTTTGACGTTTCTTTTTCCATAGTCAATAGAGCAACAACAAAATAGAACAGAAGCATGCGCGCACCGTACTCTTTCTAAACAAGTTTTCTCTGTCTGTCACGTTAGCCACCCTCACCCGCCCTCACCTCACTTGCATCCACAGAGTACAACTACAACCGAAACTTGCATCGTTCATGTTGTTGCGAGTTTACGAGTTGCGAGTTGCGATCGTCGATTCGTCGAACGTGAACGGTCGAATCGTCATCGTCAAATCTCGACTCGCGTCGTTGATGGTTGCTTGTCTCGCTGCGTAACATTGACGAACTTTGTTTTTGTGTTGAAAATAATATGCCATTTATTTCGAAAGACTGGCGATCGCCAGGCGAAGAGTGGGTAAAAACCCAAGAAGGTTGGGAGAAGAAAAAAGTGTTGGAATGCACCATGCAGAGGTAAGAACGCTTTTCATAACAAATTCCTTTGTTCACAATTAGTACAACTCAAATAAGATGCACGAAGGGCTCTAACAATTTGATATTACACTAATGCTTTACTTCATAGTGTTGTTTTAATTACGCAATTAGGTTTTTCGTATTTTGTATTGCAGATATCCCGATATCTCTAATTCTAATAACATAGACGAGAAGCAACAGAAATGGTGAGTGTCGTTTTTTTCTTTTCGTTTATCCGATCAGCTGTTTCTGTTATTGTCTCGAGAGTTATTGATTTTAGCGAATGCATGCGTGTGTTTACTGCTTTATGTACCTATATGATAAGTACATAATTTTGTTTAGTACATTTTTTTCATATATAACTTCACGACTGTAATCCCCGAAAGGGTAAGTAGAATCTAAAGCGCAGCGAGCTAATCAGGCCATGATTATAAAAAAAATAGATTTAGATAAAAAATTGTGAAAATCACAAACCCAATATCATATTAGACATCTTTTACGAGATGCTAGGCAAGTAACACAGAACATTCTTTTTTGTTATAAAGTCCCTCATAAACATGGGATCTTTAAGTCGCAGACCAACATGGACAAGTTATTTATTAATTTTACAGCAGTCATAAAGTTTAAGTAACAAAATAGATGCAATATATTCATAGTGAATTCATTACGCAAAATGCTAACTTTCACTGAATACGCGACGCTCTTTGTCTGCTTCCTAGTTTTTGTTATAAATGTTTGTTTGATTTACATAATATGACTTAAAAAAAATTAATGCTAAATTGTTACTTAGAATAACGTAGCGGAAAATTTCAACGCATAATACATTATAATAACATCGTATTCATTTGTATACATGTCTTAATCGGTGGATTTGTAATAATCGTTTTAGAAAGATTCATAATTCAAATCAAATTCATTTTTATTTGTGAATACAGTTAGGTAATAGACATCGAATTGCGTAATAATTCTATGGTAATAGACATATCAGACAGAATAGATCTTCAAATAAAAATTACATTTGCTGCGTTCAACCCTTAGGTCCCTACCTATACAAATACCTAGTCAGGTCATAAGTATTGTCACACAGTAAAAACTTTTATTTTAGAATGCTGGCCACAAAAAAGTTTATTGAATTCGAATTTCGAATTGTTCATGAAAATAAAACTGTATACTTTTTAGAATTTTACTCATTTTTAAATATGGAGTGGACGCTTAAAGAAGACCGTGTTGCAGTTATTACATTGCATCGTTGCGTTTACGCGCCAATTCAAATTTTTGACATACTGAAAAATTTTAATATAACCAAAAGATTCGTTTATCGTACCATCAAACGATACAATGAAGACTCTAGTGTAGATGACAGGTCAAAAAGTGGTCGCCCTCGGTCTGTTAGGACTCCAGCAGTGATAAAAGCTGTGAAGGCGCGAATTCAAAGAAATCCCAAACGTAAGCAGAAACTGTTGGCCCTTTAGATGGGGTTAAGCAGAACCACGGTGAAAAAGGTGTTAAATGAAGACTTAGGGCTTCGGGCATATCGAAGAAAAACAGGACATCGTTTGAATGCTCGTCTAATGGACCTGAGACTGAAGACATGCCGCGCTTTGTTGAAGCAGTACGGGGGAAAAAATATCGGGAAATTCTTTTTTCGGATGAAAAAATTTTGTATTCCGCGTGTCCAACGAGGTCATTTTCCATCCTCGCTCATGGTACGGTTGGGAGTTTCTTATTGGGGCTTAACAGAGGTACATTTTTGTGAGAAAGGTGTAAAAACGAATGCAGTTGTGTATCAAAATACAGTTCTGACGAATCTTGTGGAACCTGTTTCTCATACCATGTTCAATAACAGGCACTGGGTATTCCAACAAGATTCGGCGCCAGCTCATAGAGCGAAGAGCGCACAAGACTGGCTGGCGGCGCGTGAAATCGACTTCATCCCGCACGAAGACTGGCCCTCCTCCAGTCCAGATTTGAATCCGTTAGATTACAAGATAGGAGGAAATGGCGTGCTCAAAGCCTCATCCCAATTTGGAGTCACTCAAGACATCCTTGATTAAGGCAGCCGCCGATATTGACATGAACCTCGTTCGTGCTGCGATAGACGACTGGCCGCGCAGATTGAAGGCCTGTATTCAAAATCACGGAGGTCATTTTGAATAAACTTTAGTGTCTTAAGAATCTATGTTTTGTTAAATTCATTTTGGTATATAAATGGTTACATAATGAATAAACTTGTTTCAATTATTTTATATTAAACATGTGACAAAATTTATGACTTGACCAGGTATATATATAGGTAGGTACAATTAAATTTACTACACCCCTAAAATTAAATTATTTCATTATATTATTTATATTATAATTATATTGAAATGCTTCACATGAATTGTATTGTCATTTAACATGCAATGATTCAATTCAAGATGTAATCAAAAACATTATAAGTAATTTTATCATTAGTACTTACAACTTGTGATAAAATACCTGTACTACTAGACAATGATATTTTACCTATAATAATAGGGAGAGATCCTGGCATTACTCTTTATTGGAAGTAAAGACTAGAACTGAGTTGGGGAGGTGACTCGAACTTTAGGCCTAGTCAGTTTGAATAGCCTATCATGTAGAGGATGTCATGGGGGTTATGGTTGAATAATTATTCAACCATAACCCCCATGACATCCTCTCCTTCCAAAGGTTCTTACCACAGTCTTTACTTCCCGCATCCCACGAGTTATTAATCGTATAGATTATTTGTTTACCTGTCCAAATTTAAAAAAAGTACATTACGTGGTATTTGTTACCTTAATAATATGTAAAGATTGAACTGTACAAAGTACACTGCTGAGCATAGGCCTCTGCCATAGATTGGATCATAGAGGAGATATTTGTCGTAGTCGCCTCACCTGGCAATTATAGTCATCATGCATTTTTTAGTAGGTAAATTCAAAAAAGCTATGAAGGATGGTTGTTAAGCGATCAAAACTCATTCAGAATGTTTCACTAGGATTTAGATTTCTTTAGCAGAATCTACCACCTGCAACGGAATAGCTACAATAATACAGTACCTTTAAGACAGAACAGGGGCCTAAGTTTATTATAATAATAACACAATTAACCCAGATTACCCATTTACTCTTAACTAGGCATTCTATTTCTTCAGTTCTTATATTCTAGAAATACCTCGTTATCCATCACGATCGTTTACGTACTATTTCTTTATCGAACTGTTCGTGCAGAAACTTATAACGACTACATGAAACGTCGGAAATTAAAAATACGTTTTAAAGTAATTGCGATATATTATTTAAAATAAGTTTAATTCAAGGACTCCTTTTGACACGGTACAATAATATACTGCGCCTGACGAAACCTAAATGGCATTGAATTTTCTGTAGATATAACATTAATATACAAATATTAACAATCTTTTTTCTCTTTACAGTTCTTATTAGTTATTTTTGTACGTGGTAGAGGCATGCTGCAGCTATATTAATTGTATAGTTGTAGCACGAAAAGGTCGGCTCGACCGGGGAAGGACAACGTTCTCACGGAATACAAGAGTAAAACAGCAGCTTAAAGCTGCTGTGTTTCGTATGGTGAGTGTAGAGAACCGGTGACCCTTTTTACTGGAAATGAGGCATTCCATCTTAGTCCTCACGGGTGACAACGCATCTGCATTTTGATTCTTTATTGAGGATAGATGTAGATGTCTATGGGTAACCACCTACCATCAGGTGGACTATGTGCTCTTTTGTCACCCTATCCTATAAAAAATACTTTTTATCCGACTTCAAAAAGGAGGAGGTACACAATTCGACTGGTTTTTTTAATGTGTTACCTCATAACTGTTTTCTAGGTGAACCGATTTTGATGATTCTTTTTTATTTGAAAGCTACTGCTTCTCATGTTGCCCCATATAAATTTGATGAAAGAATGACTAGTAGTTTTTGAGTTATCCTTAATAAATTATATTGAAGTCGGTAGTCCTACTCGTATTTAACTCCATTGTATTTTCTCCACTTATTTTAGATCTGACAGTAAAAATTAAAATGTTTGCACCACACGACATGGTCGACATGGAGAATAGGCTGCTGGCTCTATTTTACGGTGTATAGTAAATTAGTAAATATTAGGGAGTGCTTTTAGCCGGGATGGAAGATGTGATTTAGATGTGGACAGGCGTGTCGCTGCCGGGAACAAAGTCAATGGTGCCCTGACTGCGTTAGTCAAAAGGCAAGGCGTAGTGAAGAGTGCACGCCTTGCAATACATAACGCAGTGTTGGTACCGACTTTGTTATATGGCAGCGAAACCTGGGTATGCCAGAAGAAGCATAAAAGCAAGTTGAATGCAGTGGAGATGCGATCTCTTCGTAAAATGTGCGGCGTTACCATGGCCGACCGAAAGCGAAACGAAGAGATTCGCAATATGGCAGGTTTGAAAGATGACCTTATCACAAAAATTGATAAGGGCGTGCTTCGGTGGTTTGGGCACGTTGAGCGAATGAGTGAAGACCGAATGGTGAAGAAAATATATAGCGCGAAAGTTAATATTAAAAGGTGTCGAGGTAGACCGAGACTAACTTTCGAAGACCATGTGAGCAAATTGCTCGAAGAGGGTAGGGTCAAGAGTACTCGGATACCTAGACGTGCATGTATGAAGAAGATAATGAATCTGAAAGAAGCGAAAGAGGTATGTAAGGATCGTGACACTTGGCGATCTGTTCTCTCTGGCTACCCCGTCAGGGATTGTGCGTGAAGATATGAAGAAGAAGGTGACATAGACAAAGTGCGATCATAGCTCTTTGTAGAATCATAGTAAGCTTCCAGTCCTTGTAAAAAGAACATAAAATTATTGTTAAGAGAGTGTGGTTCATTGTTTTTTATGGCTCAATCTTCAATCAAATACTTTAAAAGGACGCGACGAGTAAAAAAAAAACTGAAGTAACAAACGAACTCACAGCCTACCTGATGGTAAGTGCTTATTGAAGTCCACGGACATCTGTAGTTAACTGCAAACAAGGAGGGCTACATATGCGCAAGATGAAATGTTTCACAGCCTCTAATTATACTGGCTCTTACCTTTCAGACGGGACAAAACAGTGCAAACACTGCTATTTGACGACAGATGTAGACGAAGAGCCATGTCAGCTCAGATGGTTAGCGCTCGCTGTAAATTTCACAGCACGCGCGCAAATCTGGTTCGAAC